TGTGTGTGTGTGTGTGTGTGTGTGTGTGTGTGTGTGTGTGTGTGTTAAGACGGAGTCTCATGTAGTTCAGGCTGCCCTTGAACTCACTATGTGGCCAAAAATGACTGGGTTTCTGATCCTTCTGCCTCCATCTCCCAAGTGCTGGGATTACACCATGTCGGTGCTGGAGACTGAACACAGGACTTCATGCATGCTAGGCAAGGACTCTACCCATTGAGCTACATCCCAGCCCCATGTACTCACTTTTGATTCTTAGATAACATTTATTTTCAGCCAAAGGAAAAGAATAGTTTTGAGCTTTAGGCTTTGTTTAACATTGGGATTACTATGTATGTAGGAAAACACATGAAAAATGATGGTGCAGTGTAGTTCACCATGATGGACCTTTGCAGTCCATCTTTCTTCTCTGAGACAAGAAGTCTTGGAGGGACGGAGTGGGGAAACTGAAGGGAGGCTAGTATTTTCACTGTTGTGCAGTATCTTCACTGTTAGGCTGAAATCTGGCACAGAAAACTGAGGATAAGCCAAAGGCCAGAGTCTTTTACCTCATTTCCTGCTCAGAATTCTGGAAGGACCTCACTGGCCTAGCCACTCCACTTGCAGGGGTGATGTCGCAGGATACCCCGCAGTGTGGAGTGTTTGAGTATACCACAGTTTAACTTCCCGGTTGTGAGCCCCTGTGCTTCTGAATGGCACAGAAAGATCCAGGATTTTTCATAAGACCGGAGGGAGAAGAAGAGGACAGCTGAGAGCCTAGGCCTGCTGCTGAGACTATGTGAGGTGGCCACTGCAGACAGAGGTCCCATTATAGACGTGGTGGGGCCTCACAGTTACATGTATGTGTGTACGTGTTTGTGTGGAGGTGGAGGACAACCTCAAGTGTCTTTCCACAGGAGTCATTCATCTTATTTTTTAAAGATACTTGAACTGTATCTTTTATTTATTTATTTATTTAATTAATTAATTTATTTATTTATTTTGGTCTTTTGGAGACAGGGTCTCCCTGTAGCCCCAGCAGTCCTAGAACTCACTATGTAGACTAGGCTGGCCTTGAACTCACAGAGATCTGCCTGTCTCTGAGTTCCAACTGCTGTATGATACACTATGAAACCTGTTATACTAGCTAAGCTGTGAGATACTTAAAAAATAAGGTGTTTTATCATTTTAGAGCTGAGCTTGCCAAATGCACTGGTAGGTTGGTAACACCACCAGAGTCCTCTGAACCATTCCATTTGCAAGGATGTCACGGGAAGACCAGCAAGGTTGTGCCCAGATAAGCTGGCTGGCTTCCTAGGCCATCGCTGTGGAAGCTGCCTGGTTCTCATGACAGGGCAGGGAAGGGCAAAGTTCCCAGTGGTTGACTAAATTATTCTTTTAGATACTTTCACTAACTTGCTACTCTGGCACCATAACGGAACCTCTTCTCCCTGTTATGCAAACAAGGTGATTTTTCCACAGAATTCCTGAAGTCTGAACAATGTTGGTTCAAACTCTTCTCTTTGCTGATGGATGTGCTTTAAGTGTCACTCAAGAAAAAAAGTCTTTGACTAGGACTAATGGGATAACAGAGATGCATGAGCCCTCTATCTACGGGTCAGCATCCAGACAGCTCTATTAATTGCTCTTCAATTTTTTTTAAAACAAATTTCAGATTTACTTTTATTTATGGGGGGGGGGGCGGACGGACATGTGTGCAGGTGCTCAAGGAGTCCAGAAAAGGACATCAGGTCCCTGGGAGATAAGACTTACAGGTAGTTGTGAGCCATCTGATGTGTTGTTGGGAACAAAGCTTGGGTCCTCACTGAGCCATCTCTCTAGGCCCTGACCTTTTTTTTTGAAAAATGCTTTGAAATGTGTATGAACACAGCAACATGGCCTATGTAATTATTCAATATGCTTTATGTTCCATAAATCTGCTTAATCTTATCTTAGGTCACAGAAATCTTAGGGCCAAAACCAAATTTGCCTTACTTTCTACAGCACCAAATAGGCTATTGAGCCATTATGTAACCAGTAAGTTTACATGCCTTTGAGATCTTTCATCATTCCATGCTTACGCCAATTTAACAAAGAGCTGAATTTGAAATATTGAGTGGACTTTATAACTGTCATAATTTTATTTTCTAAATTTGAAAGCACACCTTTATGGGGAAAACAGCTACAATTTTGAACATTAAAATACCTCAAAATTATCACAATGATGATTTTATAATTTCACTGGTTGACAGGTAAGAAAGCTCCTTCCTGCCCTAATGTAAAATCTCAGCAGGAGAAACTCAAGGCTAACTGCAGCTGATACAACTGGTCAAGTTGTGCTAGGTCTCAGAGAATGAAGTCTGGGGTAAGGTGTTTTAATCCTGAAACAGTGTAAGCACTTTTCTTTGTAGTGTGATGCCTTTCATTTTAAATATATGACTTTCTTGGGGAATTTAGTAAAATTCTATAGTTTTTCATGTACTGAAGATGATTTCAAGTTAACTTGGGGGTAGATTTAGGGCATGAAAGTTTCATAAAATGAAGTGGAGAAAATATGTCTTGATTTATAATAGAAAGTACCCTAAGAATGAAGACTTTCTAACATTTTCTATTTTAAATTCCTTGAAATGGTACTGCCTTAGACAGGGACTAAAGTGGAGAACTGAATTTTATCAGTGGAAATCATCTAACCAATTTAGATTTATTGAGAACCTTTCCCTAGCCCTCCCACAGCAAATCCCTATTTTAACTTATCTGTACAGATATGTTTCATTACTAGAGATAAAGGAAGTTTATTATTTTGAAACTTTCTCCTTCTTTGGAATTCTCTTTCCTATTTGTCAGGCAAAAGAAAAAAAAAAGTTTCCGGGCATATTATTTATTCAGTATACTAGTCTGGTAATGTTCCTCAGTGAAGAGCAATGCAAATTAAATCACTGAAATTCTTTAGAAGCAAAAGTGTTTTAGTGTGGCGGACTTTGACAAGAGGGTCATAAAATCACACTCAAGTGAATTCACTTTAATGCCTATGCTGCTCGCCCACGGCCTGGGCTCAGGGTCAGGGTCAACCCAACCAGAGCAGCAGGAGAAATGGCGGGAGTGCTGACCTTCAAAAGCAAGAGCAGAAACACCTTCAACGGTTCATGCCGTTTATTAACGCAGTGCACAGCAGACCCAAGCCCTGCCGTTCCCAAGCACACCTGCTTACATCTTAGACGTCTGCAGTTTTACCTTTGTGTGCAGAGGTTCCCTTCAGTGAATGAACACAGTCTATAATTACTGAAAATATAGTACAGAGTGAAATGAGTTACATAGAATTTAGGCACATATTGATTAGGAAAATAGGTATCTCTCAATACAATACTTCTCTGTCTTGGTAAAAATAATAACGCAAAGAAAATAATTCATTTTTAAAGGTGCTTTCCTTCCCCTGTAAAGGAGCGCTGTCCTCCCACTGTGCATATGAGCCCTTTACTGTTAAGGAAAGCGTTGCATATGTAGTATAACAGTAAGCTACAGAATAATGACGATATGCCACTCTCCCGAGGGAGACAGGTGGTCTGATGATTCACTGCCTCAAGCTACCAGTTTGGAGGATTCAGAACCCATTTGGACACAGCTTATATCCCTGCTTTTGGGGAACACATAAGGACATGGGGACACTGGTAGGGGAAAAGGCCCTACCTCTGCTGCTGCACAGATAATGACTCCAGGAAACTGAGCTAAAATTTGATTTAAAAACAAAACAAGACAAACAATGGAATTTTTTTTAAAAAAAAGAACCAGAGGTGCTGACTGGTATTGCGGGTTAGACTAGCCAAATGCTTTATCTGTCAGTTTAAAGTTCCTTATTCACCACTGTAGGGCTTTAGCTGTAACTATCTTACGTTGTCTTCTAAGAGGCAACTGTCACAGTCTTCATATGTTACAGCTCATACTGCAGTGGGTCTAGAATTAATACCTATTTCTAAGCTGGTCCTGTTGATACCACTTGGCATTGCACAAACTGAGCGTTGAGGGTGCACCTTGGTTTTTTGGTTCTGAAGTATCTTCCTGTGCTTGGGATGACTGTACATGAGAGCGAGCGAGCACTGGACTAGGCGAACAGGCAGAAGTGCCGAGCAGGCGGTGGGAATGCTGGCTGGGCAGTGCAGCTCTCAGCTAAGCCTCCCCGCACCTGGACAGGCCAATGCAGCACAGAGTGGCACAGTGTCTCTCCACTCTGTCTCAGAAAGTAAGAACAGGATGTTCCTGAATTTAGCTACTGTTCTGTTCGTGAAAAGTAAACATTATAAAAATGAACCTGAAAAGAGAGCCTCGGGGGGTCTGCCCTCACCACACTCATGACTCGATAGGTATTTAAAGGAAGGAAGGCATTACTAAAGCTATTTATGAACCTGAACAACTTTTCCAAGTTTCCATAGTTTAACAATTTAAATATCCTTACTGCATCTAGGTATTCAATAAATATAATTGCATATGTTGTGCTTTTCATAAATTAAAATTCTCAAATGCATCTTGAACCAAGATACTTCCACATCATGCCTATATAAAAGCAAATATAATAGATACCATTCCTGATCAGGAATCCAGACAAATCCCCCAACCCCATAAAAGGCAGCAATATGATTCAGCTTCCCTCCATCTATGAACAGTGCTTTCTATTACAATCAGAATGTGAGGGAAAAATAAAATTTCTTCCCTTACACACCTCTGAGAATAAGCATAATCCTCCAACCCTTTTTCTTAATTCTCTTACAGTGTTATTTCTTCAAAACAACCAAATGGGTGGAGAAAGAAGACAATTAAGGAAAAGCTTTTCATCCCCAGCATCTTCCTCCAGCCCCTCTCATCTAACACTCTGTGACATGTGCAGTGGTGTCAGCATCTCTTCAAATATAGCGCCCTTCACGTTGGAGCCTCTCAGGTTGGCTTCCTGGAGGTCACACCCCGACAGATCACAGTTCTGTAAGACAAACAAGACTTGGCTCAAGCGATTTAGGGTCTTACTTGATTCCTGGTTTCTGGGCATAGTAGGGCAATATTCCTCTACAGTAACAGTCCATTTCTAGAACACGTCCATGTATCGTCTTTATTTGTTGTCTGTGGCAAATGCTCGGCTGGCCCACAAACATGTATAAACAAATGTTAAAGAGGAAACAAACCCCCTCTGTTCATATATTCACATACATACACATGTATAGGTATTTTTTTGAGACAGGGTCTCATATAGCCCAAGGTGGCCTTGAACTTGCTATGTAGCCGAGTCTGCCCTCTTACCTCCTCATCCCAAGAGTTGGGATTATAGGCATGTACCACCATGCCTGGCTGTTTACATGTATTTTATAAGTAGTTGTGTAAAATCCAGAATGGATTCCAATTCAGTGACTATTGTCTAAGCCAATTTACCACAATCGTAAAGCAGGAGAGAGCCAACTCTACAAAAGTTGTCTGCTGACCTCCACACAAGTGCCGAGGCGTGCATGTCTACACACACCACACACATACACAATAACAAAGGAGCCAAGGGAAAACATCTATGACCTTAGGTGACAGCAACAAGGAGGAGGACTGTACGAGGACCAGCACAGGCGAGTTCCTTCTAAAGGAATCAGCTTCTCTGTTCTCAAGAACTACCAAGGGATCAAGACTTAAACTTTTTTTAAAAAAAGTCCACAGTGAGCTAAATTTCTATATACACAGTGAGCTAAATTCTATCTGTGCCACATGTCCTTATAAAGCTGTATTGTTCAACATGACAGCCATCTGACACATTTAGGTTTGAATGAATTAAAGTAAAATTAAAAAAAAAAAAAAAATCAGCCAGTCTCAGTTTACACAAGCTCAAATACCCAACAACTATGTGGTTAGTTGGCTAGTGAACTGAACAGCACAGATCACTCAGTGCAGAAAGCAAGACCAGAAAGCAGTATAGACATTAGCCTTTGAGCAAGGTATACTTGTGATCCCAGCACTGGTGGGGACTGAGAAAACAAATCACAAGTTGGAGGCCAGCCTGGGCTATATAATGTTTGACGCAGCCTGGGCTATGAGACCTTATCTCAAAACAAACCAGCTGTCAAAATCTAAAAATCAGGAAGACATGTAGAATACAGTTTTTATGAAAAAAGGTTAGACAAAATTAGAAATGCAAAGCTGAGATTCAACTGAGCATGACATCAAGTTAAAATGGGGCTTTTCCTGAACCTCATTTCAAACCTGGATATCATTTAAATTTATCAAGTAGCTCAAGAAAGAATCTGGCCCATTAAATTCTGTTTAAAATTAAAATTAAATGGATTAAGAAGGCCTTTCTCAAATTTATATGCTTGAGAAAAACTCAAGAAAAAGGAGAAGGACAAAACCAAGGCCAACCAAAGTCTCATCAGTCTTCACATCTGGAACCTGTGACTGAGGTGACCGATCAGATTTTGCTCTGGAACTAAAACTAGTTTGAACAAGCAATAACTTCTTTCTTTTCCTAGTTTTTTGGGGTGGGTGTGGGTATTTAGTCCAGTCTGGGCTAGAACCCCTAACCCTCCTGCCACAGCTGGTATCAGAGGTATGCATCTCCATGCCCGGCTACGCAACAAACAACTTAAAGGGGATGCTTGCCACTGCACCGGCATGGTAACTGGAGTGTCACCAGCTGACGACTTTGCCTACACTCTCAGTATCTTTTGCATGGTATCTGCAGTAGCTCTGGACTACTGGGACTCTTTAGATGTTGGGGAACTCACCTCTAAATCAGTTCCTGCTAGAGTTGCTCCTCTGAGGTTACAGTTCTTCAATTTTGCGTTTTTTAAGGTGGCAACTCTCAGGTTAATTCCTGTCATCTGACTTCCTTCCATATCAACACCTTTCAGATTAGCACCTACAGGAAAGCAAGTCCTCAGAGTGATTTAACCTAAAAGTATTCATAGTTAACCACTTGCAGCAGTGGAGACAAGTCCTTGTGACTTCTGGGTATGAACTGAAATATGTCTTTCAGCCAACTTGTATATAAAGATTTTAGTGGTGACAATTTATTTTCTTATGGTATAAATTTGTAATCTTTCAGCAATACTTGACAGGATAGAAATCAATATTGTCTTTTGATAATCAGCACTTTAGTAGTATGCCTCCATAAATTTATGGTCAGAGAGAGACATAAGTGTTACATCTCCTAAATATCCAAATAAACCAGGTGCCCAGCTCACAGTCAGCAAAACTGTCTGAAAAAAAATTAAAACCTAACAAAAAAACTTCAGGCTTTATGCAAACTGAAACTCTTCAATTGGCCAACATAAGAATGCTACACTTTATTCCTAAGTTCAGATGCTGCTGTTGGCCTCTCAAACGAAAGCCTCACTGATGGAGCACCTGCGCACTGTCCCCTCTTCACTGTCCATCTGTGTGTGGGGCGCAGCTGAGGCCAAGGAAGCATCTGACTTTTGCGAACTCTCTAGTTACAACGTCACAGGAAGCTGCACCCCATACCGTCCCGCCTCACCCCTAACAATCATTTTGCTAGACTTTTGACTTAATGGTCTGAGAGTCAGCGAGAACAGGGATTTATGGACAGGTTCTCACCCTCTAAGTTGGCCTTGAGACCAGAAGGATCCTCAAAATTACACAGCTTCAGGGATGCGCCTTCTGCATTAGAACAGAGCATCTTGACTCCCTGGAGATTTGCACACTACAAAGAAAAAAGTTCCAACTTTATGATTTAAAATTTTATCCCATTTTGTGTAAAAAATAAGAGAAAGTAATAGAAAAGGCCCAATTCAACACATCTGCAACTAGTTATCATCTGTTTATAATAACTTTTTTTTGGTCTTTTTGAGACAGGGTCTCCCTGTAGCCCCGGCTGCCCTGGAACTCACAATGTAGACCAGGCTGGCCTTGAACTCACAGAGATCTGTCTGCCTCTGCCTCCTGAGTGCTGGGATTAAAGGCGTGCGCCACCACACCTGGCTCTTTTAGACTTTTAATGTAACCCAGTAAGAACTGAGAACTATTTTAAAAAGTACTTTTTGGAAGAACTGCTTTCAAAGAAATAAACACCAAATTAACAATATCCCGTTCACTTTATATAAAATATGAGTTTATACCAAAAAGTTGCTCAAGTCTGAACTATGATAACTATTTCTATTTTTATCAAGAGCCCTGGGCATCACAAAGTAATGTTCAAAATCTAAGTGCAAGGAGGACACGGAGTTAGGGTGGTCTTCCTTCTCCTTCTCATCGATGAAATTAAGATATGAAATCCCGATATTCCATTTTTACTTCAAAGGTGAGAGCTCAGGGTTTCCTTTACCCATGCAATACTAGTAGCTGCTACCCTGGTCTTTCTGTATCAGACTGGCATCGCCAACCCTAAGCATAATGCATGAAGAAAATAGGAAGTTAGAAAACACATGAGTGAATTTTTCTGTGTTGGGTCATCTCAGAGGATTCGATGTCATCAGGCCTGGACTCTACCACATTCAGGCTAAGCTGGAAAGCTCTATAAAACAGACATTAACATTACACATTCTTCACAACTATGACGTCAAAACAGAAGATGAATAGGTTTTAAAATGTATAGGGTACAATATGAATGATATTTGTATTTGTCTAAAACCCTAAGCCTTGCTTTTCAAGAAAATTTGTTTTATAGTGCAATTTTACTCAGCTTATAGTCACGCTCAGTAAAAGGAGACAAGAATGAGGCCAGGCCAGCGACAGCCAATAGATAGGCTCATTCCCATCTATCTGGGCCTGGGCCTTTATAAGGTCGTACAGAAGGTCTGTAAAACTCAGGGACATAATGAGGACATTTAAAAGGCCAAAATAAAGCCAGGTGTGGTGGTGCACGCCTTTAATCCCAGCACTTGGGAGGCAGAGGCAGGCGGATCTTTGTGAGTTTGAGGCCAGCTTGGTCTACAAAGTGAGTTCCAGGACAGCTGGGGCTACAAGGAGACCCTGTCTCAAAAAGGCCAAAAATAAATAAATAAATAAATAAATAAATGGCCAAAATAATTAAAAGATGACTGGATTTTATGTACTTTAAAATCTAACAAGACAGGAAACTGACATATGCAAAGGCATGTCCCTGGCTTTCTGTTTAGTACTCTTAAAAACACAATGTAAATTTATAAAGGTCCCAAGTGCCTGTTTGCCTGGGCTATAACTATGAACTCTCTGAAGGGAGGGATACAGGAGAAACTGCAGTGGAACTTTCTGTCTTTAACCATGTGAAGCACTGAGCTTTTACTCATCAAATGGTGAGGCAGGTGGCCAGTGCTGGGACTGGAGAGCTCAGCTAACAGGCCAGCACTGGGGTTACAGGGACTGTGCTGTCTTACTTTCTCAAGAGAGGCAACATGTTCTGATGAAAAGTATGTATGTTGATCACTTGTATAACTGAAATAATGAGCTATTTGAAGATATTCTGTGGTGAGGTACAAACAAAAGGCGGCTGGCTAAGTGGTAGTATTGTAAAGACTGATGGACAGTGATAGGAAGGGATTCAATACACCAAATTTTCACAAATATTTGACATTTCCAAATGAAACAGTCCTTAAAAACAACAACAACAAAAATACTTTAGATTCTAGTTTCAACTGCCAATAGCTAGCTTTTGGCCTTTAGCAAGTCTCTAGACTACAGACTGTCTATAAAATAGCAAGATCACACTAAACAAGCACCTAGGTCTTGCCATTCTACCATCTCCTAAGGCTTGGGGTGGGAATATGCAGTGCGGTAACAGCTGAATTATCATCTGCCTCAATGCGGCCAGATAAGGCAATGACCAGCAAAGACTGCAGAAGAAACACTCTGAAAAGGAAGGACAACAGAATGTGGGCTGACAGAATGGAAGGCACGGCAGAAGCATGGGCTCCTCACAGTGTCCACAAAGACCACCTTTGATTTACTCTCAATGTGGAGCATTCCTCTGGAGAGGCTCACCAGCTGCGACAGAAAGAAGAAAAACTATAAACTGGGCGAGCGGTTGAGCAGGTGGGAGCTGGGGGCACTCTGCGAGGCAGACCCCTGAGCACACGTCGTGTTTTCTGGAAACTGAAAGACGCATGGCTATTAATCAATAACCATTGTCAAATTAGAAGCACAAAGACAAATTGGTTTTGGCTCTCGCAGCTTACACACATGGCACTAACTCTTCAACATGGACTCGTCTTATTAACAATTAGCTTTATACTCCTGTAACACTTCTGTTTATCAGGAATCCTAACTGGCCTTCGACATCAACTACTCAAGATGGATGGAACAAGAATCATGAGTCCTACTTTACAAAGAAGAAAATTATGGCTCAGGATCACAGTAACACGTCAATTAGATAGATTTGGAAAACTATTGTACTGAAATGGTCAAATCTATCTTTAGCTCTTTGTGTCCCTACCAAAACCAAGCAGTCTTCCAATGTGTCCATAAAGATGAAGTCTTTCAAGCTTTTTTATGCCATTAGTCCTAGTCTTTTCCTGTTTTGGTACTGACTGAACCCTTTATCATGAGATAGAACAAAGAGGGTAACAGTATTTAAAATATATATTGGCAATTTTTTATTATATTTGTTAGTCTTTTTTTTTTCTTTCCGGAGCTGAGGACTGAACCCAGGGCCTTGCGATTGCTAAGCAAGCACTCTACGACTGAGCTAAATCCCCAACCCCTTTTATTATATTTGATATAAAAGTAAACAGGATGATCTAATGAATACAGAAATTATAATAATTATAATAATTCAATGACTATCAAAAGCAAGATGCTATACTTAGTGCAATAAATTCAAGAGAAACAGACTAGAGCCCTGGTTTAAAGAACTTAAAAGTTGTTATTGGCTCTGCACATACCCTGTAATCCAAAACTAACCCAGGTAACTGTTAAATACATACATATACATTCATATATATTATACATATATATCATATATAATATATATATGTATATATGAGGAGACACACCATCAAGACACTAACTTCTAGAATGATGCGTATCATGTGTAGTTTAAAATAGCTCCACCAAATACTTCATCATAGTTTGGCATTCACGAGTGAGAGTCAATGGACTTTAAAAGTTCTTTTTCAGTTTTACATATAATTCACAGAAAATATCAATTCTGATAAATTTAGTATACTACACTGAGGAGCTTAGAACCTAGTTTCAAAATATAATTAAAAAAAAGATTTAATTTTCTATTTGTTGCTAACCCTTTTCGGTCTCTATGTTTCATAAATGATATCAAAGTTATAAAACCAACTCAGTCCACTTTTACACCACTGAGTTTCAACCACATGGTCAATTATCTGTTTTGTGGAAACTCCATAAGAAACGTAATTCCTATTCTTTGAGAATGCTCAATAGCCTAAAATTTTAATTTTCCCTACAACTGAAACATGATTCTTACATCAAGCACTGATCCAGAAAGATCAGCTCGTTCAAGATTTGCGCAGCAGAGATTCGCATGTGCAAGGTTGCAGCGGCTTAAATTGGCCATTTTGAAGTTAATGTATCGAAGGTCCAAACGTGAAAGGTCAGCACCACTGAAGTTTAAACCCTGAAATTAAAAAGCACAAACTGTCATAATGCTTAAACCATCTGTTTGAATTGAATTTAATTACTATAACTAAGCACCAAGATTTTAGAAGCAATTGGCGGTTCAGTCACTTGGAGTTTACTGCCAAACAAGCAAATGGAACTTAGATACAAGACATGCATGTCTTCAATGGCTTCTCATAAAAGAAACTATCTCCACATACATTAGGATATATTTATAGGTGAAGTTTCTAAAGCAGGGCCCCAGTTAGTTACATACCTGCTAGATAAATCAGTTAAACTTGATTAATTTTTTTAATTCCAAAATTCAATCTTATTTAAGAAAAAGTGGGTATTGTGGTTTTCAAAATCTGTAATCCTATACCAAAATGTTCTGCCACTGACCAGCCACACAATAACTGTGCAAATAAAACTTAAAAAACTGCTGCAGTTTCCACACATCACTCAAAAACTGCTACATGAAGCATAATTAGACAATAAGAATGGCCATTCCACCGCTTTTTGGCTAACCACTTTAAAATTAAATCAAAGCCATGGCTCATAATTAAATTCTATCTTGCATGAAAAAGAAAAAAAGGACAAAAGAGAAAACCTCAGGAGTACAAACTACTCGCAGGTGTGCTGACACAGTAAGTCCTGTAACAGTCTGTGTAAATTACCTGGCAACGCAATTCTGACTTGGTTGGAGTTGCTAGCAGAAATCTAACAAATTCTTTTCGAGATATTGGTGAATGATCCTCTGGTGGTTGGGAATTCTTGAAAAAGATATTGAAAAATTAATGGGGACTTTATGGGTGATATTTATAATAAATATAATATTGATCAAGGTTTTATAAAAACACCTACCTTTATGGCCACTTCTAGGTGTTCAATCAGTGAGTCAATACCAAAAAACCTGGCTTCTTCTAATACCCCTATCAGAATAAATAGCAAGAGACCTTTAAACAGAATAATTTAATGCTTATGGAATTCTCTATCTCGAACTCTCACAATAACACTGAGATTCAACAAGTAGGCTTATTTATTAGCGTGTGCTGTGTGTGTGTGTGTGTGTGTGTGTGCGTGTGTGTGTGTGTGTGTGTGACTTCGCCATGGGTGAGGCACTGAGGCCAGCTGGCCAGTGAGCTCCAGGACTTCTGTCTCCACCTCCCACACAGCACTGCTGGGATTATTCTTGATACCATGCCCAGCCTCTTACATGGGTTCTGGGGGATCAAACTCAGGTCCTAACACTTACAAAGCAAGCACTTTACCGAGTCATCTCCCCAGCCTAAAGAGCAGACTCTTAGTCAATAACAACAAGGAGAGGGATCAAACTCAGGTCCTAACACTTACAGAGCAAGCACTTTACCAAGTGAGTCATCTCCCCAGCCTAAAGAGCAGACTCTTAGTCAATAACAACAAGGAGCTATTGTTCGGAATCTTTATACAGAATAATGAAAAATATTTGAAAACAGGTTTTACTGAACAAGGTATAATCCCATCACTCAGGATGCCGAGGCAGGAGGATCTAAGGCTGGAGGCCAGTCTGGGCCACATAGTGTTCCAGTAAGTCTGGATTATACATGGAGACTCTGGTTTTGTTGTTGTTGTTGTTTGTTTGTTTGTTTTGTTCTGTTGTTATTTAAAAAAGAAGAAAAGAGAACTAGTAAGTTAGAATAAAAAGCTTTGTATAGTTCAAGATTATATTAGTGGTTAAATAGGCTATCAGCAAAAGTTAACACTACACATTCCTAAAATAACTGATTCAGTGATTTTACTGTGAATCCAATTTAAAAAAAACAATTAGTTCACTTAATCTTAACAACTCATCTACCTTATTAATGGAGTGAATCTGATTAGGTTTGCTATAAATATCTTAATGGATCAGAAAATGATAGAAAATGAATAGGAGTTTAAATCCGCTTCATAAAAGATGTCAAAAGCATAATTCAGACACTTTTCTTAGAGCAGAATAACCGTCAAAAGTATTTCTAAGTGATAAAAGGGATTCTACCTATCAGGTGCTTTGCTCAACTTGATAAATAAGCACCTGTCTGTTCCCTCTGGAAGACTCCTTCTCCATTAGAGTATGTGAGAGTACATCTAGGCTCTGCTAGCTTTCAAAGGAGGACTCTGGTTGACTACATCTACTTGGTAAAAAACAAAACTTCTGAGAGCATAAGAATCACAAAATTAACAAATGTAAGCCCTGCCTTTAGACAGTTCTAAACTAATAAGAGAGCCACAAATGGTTCATTGTGAGGAAGAAAATGACCTTTTCCAAGAAAGCCAATCTTGTCTCCAGTTGAGAAGCAGAGGCCATGGATGGGTAGCACACACTCGGGAACCACCCAGCACAAGCTTCCTACCCAGCCTAGGGCTCCTTCAGTGCATCCCTTCCAAGGCGTAGTACAAGAGGGTATTGACCCCTGCTGCAGCCCACAGTCAGGAGGCTCCACTGGGCCTCTATCTCAGTTCACCAAGACATTCAGGGCAAATGAGAACCTCTTGGGGCATGATATAGATGCTTTTCTAACTGGAGTTTTAGAATTAACCTTTAAATGTCAAAAAAAAAAAAAGCTTTATAAATATAAAAACTGTATTACAGACAGTTGAGAAAGCAAATATTCAGTCTAAGTTCTATTAGCCCTAGTAACACTGGGTTTGAATTCCAGCTGTACTATCCACTGCATTTTTGGTCTCAGAGAAATCACTGTATTATTTTTAAAGTATTTAATGACTTGGGGGGAATCTGAAGGCAATGTAAAATGTCTAGGTGGAAATTGTACTTTCTGAGAAACAATGATGTATAACATGAATTCAATAGAGTTCTGGTTGCTGAACAAGTAAATAAATAAAAAAGGTTGACAAACATGAAAAAGGAAATACAAAATCCTAGGACAGCCTAGACTACAGAAGTCTGAGTTAATATAGATATGCATATCTGATATGATTTCCTAAGTCTGGGAAGACACAAAACATTACCAGTGATAACAGGGAAAAATTAAAATGAGAAGAAAAGAGTTCATTGGACTTAGCTAAAGCAGACGTTTAACAGGTACCCAAGGAGGGGCTGGAGAGATGGCTCAGTGGTTAAAAGTACTTGCTGCTCTTGCAGAGGACCTGAGTTTGCTTCCCAGAACCCATGCTGGGCAGCTTACAATTGCCTGTAGTTCTAGGGGGATCTGATGCCTGTGGTCTCCATAGGTACCTGAACACACCCTAACACACATACACATAATCTTTAAAAAAAATCTTAAACATAAAAAATGTACCCAGAAGGAAGTGGTCACGAGAGTCAAACACAGATCGTTCCCCAGGGATCACTAGATACTTTAAAAAATTCTTTTTAATTGATTTTTTTTGTGTGTGTATTTCATACAGAACATCCCAAACAATCTTATTCATCGTTATACCCACATCTCAAATGGCACCTCCCATAGCCTCCCCCACCGCTACTGGAGCCCATATATTCTGTCATCCCTATTACTGTCCACTGTGTTGTCAGTGGCCCCTACTGTTCCCCAGTGCTTGTCCATCCGCTGAGTCTAGTCAGCCTATCTAGAGTTCCTTGTTTTAGGAAGATCAGCTCTTCTTCATCTAATAGCAATCAGTTGCCAACATTCCTTTAGATAAGATTGGGGGTCTGCTGTTCATTTTCCCAGTTCTATGCTGGGTTACTGTCTGGGAGTCTCTTGGGCCATCCACTCAAAGGATTTGTTCCTCAGGGGTCACATGGGTTTGGGAGGAGCCTCTGGCTCCTTTCTTTTACCAGTTCCATCTATGTGAAGATAAGTCAAAGGCACTAGATACTTTTTTTATAGTAATGACATCTACCTGGGTATGGTAGTTCTTACCTGCAATTCTAGTACACTTGGGACTCAGAAGCAGAAGGGTTGTTGCAAGTTTGAGGTTAGCCTGGACTACAAAGTAAGTTCTAGGCTAGCCTGGGCTGTAGTGTGAAACCCTGTCTCAAAACACCACCACCAAAAAAATTAGCTGGTTCTGGCAAAACCAACTACAACAACAAAACACTACATGCAAGCAAACGAACAACAGGCTGCGGAGAACTTGGAGCACCTGCTCTGACCAGCTGCGGTGGTACATACCTGCAATTCTAGCACTTGGGAAGCTGAGACAGGATGGTGGTAAGTTTAACAACAGCCTAAGGTACACAGTAAGTTCCAGGCCAGCATGGGCTACATAGTGAGACTGTCTCTAAAACAAAACAAAAACCAACCAACCAATCAGCTGTATAAACATTTCTGAATAAGAATTTAGTTAGGGACAATTATGGAAAGGCTGAAGTAATTTCATTTTGTTGCAGTGGGTACATTTTAGAGGAAATACGGAGTTTGCTATAGCAACATTAAAAACCACTGCATGCTTTATATTTCACTTCAGGTTGTAAGCTAGCAGTCCTCAGGCTGAATCTCATGTGTTCAGAATGGAGTTTTTCAAAAAAATCAAGGTTCTATATCCCAAGACCACACTTCCGAAACATAAGCAATAATTTTCAAAGCTGATGCTATGGTTCAAATATGTAATGTCTCTCACAGGCTCATTACAAAATGCTTGGTTCTCACTGGTGGCATTATTTTGGAAGGTTCTGGAAACTTTAGAGGATAGGGCCTATTTGGAGGAAGTAGGCTTGGGAGTTGGGGATGGGGTGTTGTCTGGTCCCCAGACCCTTCCTCTTGCTCTGTGTTTCCTGTCCACAAGGTTAAGAACCCCTTCCATCACACGCCACCACCGCCATGATTCTCAACCTAAGCACATAGAGCCAGCAACCACAGACTGAACTCCTAGAAACCTTTCATCCTTGAAGTTCTTCTCGCAGGTGTTGGCTCATCAACACTAAAAGGTAACTAACACAGGGCACTCCCAGGGAAGGGCGGGAGCTGTCACTGCTGTGAGGACTCCTGGTCATGTGGCTCTTGGAACCAGGTGGTGGAAGGAACTGGATGTTTGGGAAAACAGGCTAGAAAAGCTTGTAATACTATAAATGGAGCTTAATGGGCAATACTGTCGCGAGCTCAGAAGACCAGCACATAACAGCAGTGGGAAGATGAAGGCTAGCTCATGAAATTTCAGGCTGGAATAGGACCCTACTGGGACTTGGCCAAGAATCTATGTTTTGTCCATGTCCTCAAAATCTGAGAGGCTGAATTCAAAAGTAATGACCCTAATTAATCTGGCAGAGGAAATTCACAGATGACACAGTGCTGGAGCTGCAGCAGACAGCTGGCTGCCTCTGCCTGGCTCACCGGGAGGACTGGGAACACAGAAACAGCAGAAAGATTCGAAAAACCAGTGTTTTGGCAAGAAAAGAATACATTTAACTTTGTAGGTTAGGAGGGCAGCTTGTTAAAGAGATAAGCATCATCACAAAGGAATCAAGTACTTTGCCAGTAGGCATCTCAGGAATTGGTCAGACCCTACTCACCACAAGATCAAAAGTGTGAAGGTTTTAATTCACCTGAAGGACTCTGCTCTGAGAAGAGAGCTGCACAGCCACCTAACCAAGCGTTTTCTCAGTCCCAGCCATGCAGGTACACAGAATCCATTGTAGCCACGGTCTAAGGGGACCAGCTAATGTCTGAGCTGGCAGCAGACATCCACATAATGCTGATTGTACATGAATATAAAATGTAAGAACTATAGGATCATGTAGGCTTTCATTCAGATTTCAAAGGAGCCTTGGTGGCAGGCAATATGTGGTAAGGTTAGCATCTCTGCAGGCACCCTCTGCAGGGCAGTGTGAGGGTCTGTAAGCATGAAGCCAAAGATTCACAGAAATCCCAGAAGTTGGAGATACCAGGAACATGGAATGTCTGTCGAGGAAAGAGGCAGGCAGGAAACAGCCAGCTTAGGACACAGACCATGTGGGATACAAATGACAAGACCACTGGCACGGGGCTTCCAAACCCTT